AAAAAAAAAACAAACACACACACACACAAGAAAAATGTCAATACAAGTTGTTGGTAGCATTAGGAGCAGGTTGCTTACCTTTCAATAGCTAATTCTTTGTTAGAAAGTTGCTGCACTGTAATCACAACCTTCTTCTCTATTCCTTGTTTTAATTTGAAATAAAATTTATCTCTATCCTTAGGTACAGGACTGAAATATGCAAAAACAAAAAAAAACAAAAACAAAAAAAACAGGCATTATCAATACAGTAAGTAATACAATAAAATAAAATCATCTATCCCAAGATTAGAATGAGACAACAAAGTATTTAAGCAACAACACCTTTATTTTTAAAATGTACTAAACTCTCATCCTGCCAGAGTAACAAACTATAAATCTGATAGTCAACAAAAGCTAACCAAGGTTAAAAACAGGATTTTTTAAATGACATCATTTCAAATTTAAGTTTTTAAATTTAACAAATTTAGGAATATGATTTAATTATTTTTAAGTCACATTTCTGATTTATCTGATGGTGTGATCATGCGATCCTTTAACATAATGAAACCCAAAGCAAAAAAAAAAAAAAATGAGAAGAGCTTACTTTCAAACATCTAGAATTTGAAATGACTGTGACATATCGAGGTAAATATAAATAAAAGACAAAGATATAGACTGGGACAGTCTAGCATAGGCTAGACTATTCTTAAGAATAATCATTAAAATAATAAATGTCTAAAATATAGGTTGTCTTGTCTGAAAAAGAAAAATACCTTGAGCAACTTATTTGACCTAAGGCTCGATTTCTTTATCTATAAAAACAGATAAAATGGGCCAGCTGAGTGGCTCAGTTAGTTAAGAGCTCGCTCTAGAGTGTGAGCTCTGAGCAACAGCGGTTCGAGTCCCGGCCCGACCTGAGCAGCCGCTGAGCTGCCAACAGGTGGCAGGATGGCTCAGCAAAAAAAAACCAACAAAAAACAAAAACCAAAAAACAGATAAAATATCTAATAATTATTGTTAGAATTTATGTGTTAAGGCACATAGGTGATAATTAGAGTATAACTGTATCCTATTATCTGCCTATTTTTGAACTGGAGAAAAATATTCTAAATATACAATAGAAGAAAAGCGTTAAGTAAATGATGAGCAAACCATACAATATACTATTGGTAACCATTAAAAAAGATTTTGATTAAGAACATTTAAATGAAAAAATTATTATATCATAAAGTAAAAAGTTTTACATATATAGAGTTGTATGAAAATACCCCCTAAAAATAAATGAAGGAAATCAATCAAATATCAAAGTGATTGTAACTGACAAGGAAATAATTGTTTTTTATTCTACCTTTATTACTTTACTAAATCTCGTATAACAAATATCATTATTTTTAAATATTAGCAAAATCATTGACATAAAATATCTGAAAAGCATGAGAAAAATAAAACATATTAAATTCACCAAATATTTCTTTAGCATTTTAAAGCTTTATACTGACACTGTATAGTTTCTGGAATTTTTATAGTAGCCAATATCATATTTCAGGCACAAAAGCAATTTTTATTCTTTCCAAAAAACCTCACCTAAAGTTTCCTTTTCCATCATCTTCTTTTACCTCCAAGGAGACACTGAAGGTAAACACATCACTGTCGGGGGTGGGGATAACTGAGTCTTTAACATCAGAAACTTGTCTGGAAGAACGTTTGAATGCTGTACAGAAACTATACAAAATTCTGCTTACCTAAAACAATAAAAATGGAAGTACTGTTAGACAAAGGCTTTAACTGCATTTTGCTACCCTTCTCTCCTAATTCTTGAATCTCTAACTCCTATGATCATAATTTTCAATAGCAGATATGGTCTAAACATATACATATAGCTTATAATGTGTTGTTTATAACATATATTAGTTTGTAGTCTAAGCATATATATAGTTACATATATATATAAATATATATATACACACACACACACACACACACACACACACACACACACACACAATCAGTTCTTCCAATCTGGCATTTAAATACAGTAATAAAGAAGTTGAACTAATTTAATTTCACAAAAGAACTCTTTATAGATGTGTCTAGGCCTCAGAATATACTATACTGCAAGAAATGAATCCTAAGATAATTACGAGAATGATACGGGCATCTAAATCTTCCCAATGAACACAGACAAACAAGGTTTTAGCCCAAGTCGTTAATTTTTCTTTCCACTTCCCTCAGTTTCAGAGCACTAGATACTGAGTCATAAAGCAGAGTTTGGTTTTCGCAATAACCAAGCATGGTAACATGATTTAAAGACCTCCTGGTGTTGTTAATGCCACATTGCTCTGGTATACATGCAGGATTCCTAAAATAAATGTAGAAATGGTCTTATCTATTTTATTAGTATTAAGCCACCCTGGTGACTATTGGGTCTTCGGAAAAGTCATGATGCATGTTTACAACAGATGGCACTAGTTCATTTTTGGAAGTACTAGAGTCATTCGCATCTATGTTATTGCTATGTCATTTGACAGCTGACAGTTCTANAAAAAAAAAAAAAAAAAAAAAAGAAAGTAAAAAATTTCTAATGATAGCACTATATACTGGATTAAAGAAGTGCTTTATCTCAAACAACTTAGGCAGAAGTTGAGCTAATATGCTCTGAAAAATGCCTTAAAATTATTCAAAAAGTAGTTTAAGTGATGATGAAGACCTGATATTGAAGATGATTGAAGAGAGTCTGAATAAAGTTGTCTTATGAATGTTAAGTGGACAAAATGCAATATTTCTAAGTTATTTCGTGTAACGTATTTAAAATGTATGTGCAAATGTTTAAGCTAACCGAGAAAATATTATGATTAGGCATTCAGCTATTTCACCTATAGTCATCAAGGTTTCTACACTCAAGCAGATCAAACTGGGAAATTTCTTTGGGAAAATGAAGGAATCCACCTTACACACATGCACAATACAGGCCTTCGTAGAGGCATAGTATACCACTTAATCATAAAACTCCAAGATTTTTAAGTAATTACTAAAAGTTAAATTACTCAATTCAACACTTCATACTTCTTTGCCCGTGTTACTACAGACTTGATGGCTGGAAAGCTACATTTGTTATGCCAGAAAGAAAACGCTGTAAGCATGTCATAAAGATATAGAGTTTGAAGGGGCTCCCACTGGCAAATTCTGGGACCATGCGAGCACCAAAATAATTAAGCACTGTAGTGAATTATAATCTATTGTTGGGGGCAGGGTGCTGGAATTCAGGAGTCTACACCAATAATAAGTAAGTAAATGGAAGCTAAGGGAGAGGTCTTGGCATCAAAATGCCAAAGGATGACTGCTAAGTCTAGAAAAAGTGCAAGAGATGGAAAATTATCATTTTACATTCATTACAGTAAAGATTGGATCAGACAAGAATCATGAATGAATGAATGAATGAGTGAATGAAATAAAAGAGGAAATTTTGATGAGAAGCAGGATATTTTCAAGAGTCTCCCTACAGTTGCAGGAGAGAAAAAAAGAGCAATGACCGTGGAGAAATCAGACATCTCAACCAAGTAATCGAACCTCACATCACCAGCAAGGGCCAGATGGTCATTAGACACCTCCAGATGTGACACACTGTGACGGAAACATCACCTATGCAGCAATACATAATCTGAATCTACTCATGAGGAAATGTTAGATAAACCCCAAATGAGTGATGTTATATTAAAAAGAGGGGAAAGTGATATATTTTTCAAAAATGTCCATGTCATAAGAGACAGAGAAAGGCTGTGGAAATGTTCCCAGATTAAAGAAAGCTGAAGACATATGCCAACAAAATGCAATTATCTGACTCTAATGTGAATCCTGAGCTGGAAGGGGAAAAAGATGTTACTGGATTAACTAACAAAACTGGAGACAAATAGCAGGTTAGATAAAAAGAATTGTATGAATGCTAAATTTACTGAGTTGATACATATAACGTGGTTATAGAAGAGATACCCATTTTTCTAAGGAAGTATGTAGGGATAAAATGTCATGAGGTATGTAACTTTTAAATTGTTCAAAAAAACAATTTAACTTTATGTATGTGCATGTGCGTGCGTGCGTGCGTGTAGGCAGGTAGGGAGGGAGGGAGGGAGAGAAAGATTAAGAGAGACAGAGACAGAGAAACTAAGAGATTGGGAGATTGAGAAAGTGAATGCAAAGCAAATGGTGTAAGAAATTAACAGGTGATTTTCAGTGAAGAGTACACATGTGTTCTCTGTACATGTTTTACTTTTTTTAACTATTCTGTGAATTTGAAAGTACTTCCAAATAAAAGAATTAAAACATTGCTATATCTACTGCTAACCAAAAAAAAAATTTTAAATGTCACCATCATCCTTTCAGGACTAAAATATTCAAAATCAACAATACTTTTATCTTCAGCTGTTTGTCATCAATTTTAAGAAACTATCAATTGCAAGGCTCACAATACTTTCTATACCACTAAGAAAGGGAAAAAAAGATGACAACTTAATTATAAGATGCCATCAACTTGTTAAATACACCACAATTTTAGAGATGTCAAATATGAAAACATATGCATCTTAAAATTGATGAAATATGGTTTTTATTGTTTGTTTTCACAGTGAAAAACACATACATGCATCACCATACTGAGATGCTGAAAGAACTTTTCCTATTATCTGGATACGGGCAGTAGGATCTAAAGATAGGACAAAAGTGGAGCTAAATACCTGACACTGTAAAGAAAGTTGCAGATAATTGGGGGGCAGACACCTTCTCTTAGATTTAAGAGGGACGGGGATTACCATGATGCCTCAGCCAGAGCTTCAACTGGCCCCCATCTTCATCCCACCCAGAGAATGGGGGTTTTGGGGGAGGACTGGGCATAGCATAACAGCACTGGGAAAGAGGCTTTTCTTTCATTTGTGCTCATCACCAATTTCTCCCACCCCTCCAAGCCAAGTGAATAGGCATTTGTTTTTATTTCCAGTTTTTTGCCACCATAAACAATGCTGTAATAAACATCCTTTAAAAGTCCTTAGATGATGATGGACTTTTATTTCCATTAGGATAGATTCCCTAGAATGGGACTGATGTATCTAATTACAGGTATTTTTTAATCTTTATAGGTGTTGCCAGATTGCTTTTCCAAAAGGATGGAAACATACTTCACCCTTTTCCCCCATATCCCCACCAGCTGTACATGTTATTCTTGCCAATCTAATATCTTATTGCTACTTTAATTACATTTCCCTATTTGTGAATTGGGATATATATTTATTTATTTATTTATTTATTTATTTATTTATTTATTTATTTATTTGTTGGCCATGTGAATAGCTTTCCTGTGATTTGTCTATTCATGCGCTTGCTTGTTTTTCTTTTTTCTGCCAACTGTTAGGAAATTTATATATACTATAGATGTTACACTTTCATCTCTCATCTGTTACAAATATTTTTTCCAGGACTATCATTTGTTATTGACTTCCCTTATAGTATCTTTTGTCCTACAAGAATTTTTTTGTTTTTGTTTTTATATGGTCAAATATATACATAAATATATATTAATAAATGCACATACACATATATGTATGTATAAGTATGTATGTATATGTGTGTGTGTCCATGCACATTATATATTTAAAAGACATATATCCGTCTTTTAAAGCTTCTAAAATCACATTAACTAAATACTTTTGAATAATCAAAAATGATTGAGAAGGTATCTTAATTTACATACAAGGATGAAGTCGTTATTATTGTAAAATACAGCCATTTCATGTTTATTGTCTCCATCAATTGAGATTTCAATGAGCCATTTACATTTAACTTATTGACGTACACAAGCATTATGATTCTCATCCTCATTCTCATTTTTACATGAAGAAACTGAAGTATGGTGAAAAGCCACAGTAATACAGCTGAGATGGAACAGCATGTGTCTTAAAACACAAGAGGGGCCGGCCAAGTGGCGCGATGGTTAAGAGCTGGCTTGGGATGCCAGAGGGCCCCGGTTCGGATCCCACATATGAGGGCCAGTGACACTGCCCTCCACAGCTAAGAT